GGAGCAAGTTGACCTCCATTTTTTTGGTGCCTAAAAATGGAGTGTGCCATTCCAATTAGTACTGAGCCATGGGGATTCCCAGAGCAAAGTCATTCACTGCACATCCATATCTTCATCGCAGTGCCGCTGATCCACATCTTTCTCCGCATCGTGCTATAAAAAACATCTCTGTTGAAGCAAATCGCTTTGTCTGAGACTAGCAACAAAAACACCTATAGCAATCGATCCACTGCTGTTTTCTCCTCATTTCCAAGAAAAAAAAGCACAACTCGGAGGGTACTTGGAGGATTGCCGGATCGGCAGTGGAGTCTTCCCGAGAAAAACGATCTTTTGAACATCCAATCCCATTGCATCGAACTCTTCCACTTCAATGATATCTTCGATAAATGAAAAAATGACAATACTTTATCCACGATATCGATAAATGGATTATATATGGATTATCGATATTGAAGTATACTGTTGATATATCCTATAAGGATTATATATGGATAAATGATGATAAATGGATATATCAACAGTATACTTCGATGTTGACCCCCTGCCTGATGTCCCACTGCGCCGCCGCCACATCTGCAGACAACGAGGTTTGGAGCTCGATCTGCGGATTCACGGGGAGGTGACCGAAGAATCATGTGTAAATGGTGCTGATCTCCCATGATATTCCATTTTGCTGATGATAAGATTCCACAAATCATGAATCAATATGATTTAATCACTCAAATCCTTACATGGGCACAACAATGGAGGCATCAACCAGTTTCAACTAGCAAAAGTGGGAATATCAAGCAGCAAAATATGGATACAGTAATCTCTTCCCCCAAATGTTGCAGAACCCCCGAAGCGAAACCTTGGTTGAGTCCCGACTCTTCTTTATTTCGGGGCCCTTTTTGGGTGGTATTTATTATAATCTCAACTGGTTGGTGGTTTCAACCCCTCTGAAAAATATGAAGGGATGATTAGTCCCAATATATTGAAAAATGAAAAAGATTCCAAACCACCAACCAGTTATATAATGATTATGGGTTAGAATATTGTAATGGGTTATATAATGGGTTATATCATGATTATCAATCATTGCCATTATATGGGTGGTATTTATTATAATCTTAAGTTACCAATACAAATGATGCTTCAGAAGAATTCACCGCTTGACGATTCCAGTTCCTGGAGTCCGGAAGAATAGGGTTGTAATGTGGATGAACAAAACTGCATATGCATAAAAAGAAAACGTATGAAAACGTTACATCCGCAGGATATGGTCTGATATCAATTATGCAATATGTTACCCTCCGGTAAATTAACATAGACCCTGGCAGTTGTTGGGGTTGGAAGATTAGTTTCCATTAAAAATTGGTGATTCTCAGGGTCCAACTGTTAATTTACCAGAGGGTATCGATTGTATGAGATGGTATGCATGTTAGGATATAGTAGGATGAGCTATACAGGCTGCAGATCCTGGGTATTCGGCCAACATGTAAAGATGCAAAGGTGATGTTTGTTTGGTCTCTAAGCAACATGAACTAGTTCGAGATATCTGCCGTAAACAATACTTACCATCTGGTTATGACTGACATAGCCATGGAAAATCCCCCAAGTAAATGGAGGTTTATAGCTGGGAAAAACATCTATTTCTATGGGCCATCTATACCATGGCTATGTTAAATAACCAGAGGGTAATCATACTTAACCATACTTAAATATACTTCACCTAGTAGTGATGTTTACCAACGTAGCTATCGTTTGGAGGCCCCAGATATCAAGAAAAAGCAGCGCTCAAATGTGGGCCCATCCCCAGTTTGAGGACGCTTGGGATATTATTTTTTTAAGAAAAACATATGGAACCTGCTAACGATGATGATAGATGACGATAGATGATGATAGATGATTATCATTAATATTGTCCCATTGCAATAACCAATCAACCAAGCTAGGGTCTTCCATCCCATTTCCCTCCTGCTGTGACAGCAAGCGTTCGAAGAAGGACTTGGCTAACAGCTTAGACGTCCCGTTCGGCCTTGGACGTTTTCGGCGGCAAAATTTAGGGGGTTGGTTCAAACCAGCACATGCTCCACTGCGATGAGGGCCTTGCAACATTTATCCAAAAAGTGGTCCAGGCATGTAGGTAAACATACCATACTTGAAGCATATGGGCTTGCTGAGCATCATTTATAATGAGCTTGGATAAAAATAAAATGAACAGCTTAACAGTTGACAGTGCCAAAAGTCCTTATTCCCAAAGCCACTGGTTGATAGCAGGGTTTTCATCTTGGATTGTAACACATATTCTCCATTAAGCCTCTCAGTATTCTCTGGATGTTCCCTAATCTTGCATTGCAATCATGGCATGATCGAAACAAGTTAGATCAGGTAGATCACTTTGTTTAAACCAGTGAAATCAGTTTGAATGGTTAGATACTAAATATAAATAAAAACCGATAGAATCAGAGCAGTTCGTATCTGGGTGTGACTGAAAATGCTGTAGCCCAAAATCCACATATTTACATATGCGTATCAACTAAGTATCATAATTTTCTGTATGAAAAAAACACAATGTTGGTGGCATACCCAAATTTTCAGAACAAACCCACATATCATATTGTTGGTTGTACATTCCATTATATCCCTAGAATATTCCCATGACATTCCCATACAAAGGTTGCTTTGTTTCTACAAATGTTTTGGATTGTGAAACAAGAACAAACCCATATCACATTCTTGGGTTATATCCCATAAATGATATGTCCAATTGTGTCCCCCTTGAAATATTATTCTCATGAAATATCCTCATGAAATATCTCCATTTTCGCCATTGAAAACAACGACAATCATCCTAGTATAACTCCCTTTAACAACCAATCAACCAGGGTATTTTGTTCATGGCTCCCATGATATTGATATTGCCAGATCACTCACTCGTAGCACCGATCGAAAATCTGAGAGTTGCTCGGCTTCCCAGCCTTTGCGCCAAGGGCGGCAGCTCACCCACCTATCGGAGAGGAACGTGTGGGGAGTATTTCATTTTCAGAAAGGGAATGGAAGGGATTATGTAATTTATATTTATATCAATACTTGCATGTCTCTTTAGACTTGTAGAATTGGATTTGCCTAAAATGGGCATCATGTTTTTGGGTTGCATGCTCAGGGAAGGGAACTTCTACGGTCATTGGCTGCCGGTATTTCAGGGAACTTCTGTGGAAAAATCTCATGTTGGGACTATGGGAACAGCGGAATTGTGAATTGGCGCCAAGGCGTTGGACCTGAAAATGTGGCATGTTCAATTCCAATATGATTAAATCATCATCTTTCCCATTCAACGGCCATTTTTACGGATGTATCCTGAAAATTTCAGACACACCTAATTCTGTTTGGCATATTCTTGGGGGAATGTCGACATCCCTGTAGCCTCTGGCGGTTGAGAGGTTGATGGGAAGGACATCCCAAAGTTGATTTACGAGCAACACATGTCCAATAATCATCAATAGTCCATGATTATGTATATATGATTATATATGAATAATCACGAATGTATAACCGGACCAAAATGAATTGCTACTTACAACTTACATATCACAAATATATATATATATATCCCCTATATCATAGATAAATATCTACGATGAAGTCGGCCCCATTTCGCGCTGAGCTGCATAGGCTCTGCTCTTGACTTTGTTTTTTTTGGTTTTTCATAGGGGCGAAGTGTGGAAATGAACCGCCCTGAATTTGGGCAAGGAACCAACGCAGAATAAGATAGTTCCAATACAGTAAATTCACCTAAAAGGATCTAAACTAAACGTTGAATTGGCCCATATGGCGAAGTTCCGGCGAAAATAACAAATCCAGGACCTCAAAACCGCATGAAAAGTGGAAGCTGGGAAGTATCCTGCAAGGATGCAGATGTTCGTGCGCAATATGTGTGTATGTATATATATATATATATATATATCATGCCTGTATTATATAATGTATTATATTACTTATATATATACATTTATGTCCAGAAATAATATAGATTTTTGATATCAAAAATATGCTGCTTTTGCGCTATGTATGTAAAGACTCTCACAGGACGAGAGAGAGAGACAGAGAGGAGACAGAAACAATGACACTATATACATTGTATGCATTGGCATTTCAAAGGATGAGGCCCCTAACTATGTCTCATCAAATCTATGTATGCCTCTCTGTAATTCCACTGCATGTAACATGTGCCCTCAGCTTTAAGTTGGCTTGAAAGAAAAAACCATCTGATTGTATGTGTATAAAGATAATAGATAGATAGATAGATAGATAGATAGATAGATAGATAGATAGATAGATAGATAGATAGATAGATAGATAGATAGATAGATAGATAGATAGATAGATAGATAGATAGATAGATAGATAGATAGAAAGATAGATAGATAGATCGATAGATAGATAGATCGATCGATCGATAGATGGATAGATGGATAGATGGATAGATGGATAGATGGATAGATGGATAGATGGATAGATGGATAGATGGATAGATAGATAGATAGATAGATTGATTGATAGATAGATAGATAGATCGATAGATCGATCGATAGACAGATGGATAGATGGATAGATGGATAGATGGATAGATGGATGGTTAGATAGATAGTTAGATAGATAGATAGATAGATAGATGGATAGATGGATAGATAGATAGATAGATAGATAGACAGATAGACAGATGGATGGATGGTTAGTTAGATAGATAGATAGATGGATAGATGGATAGATGGATAGATGGATAGATGGATAGATAGATAGATGGATGGATGGATGGATAGATAGATAGATGGATGGATGGATAGATAGATGGATGGATGGATAGATAGAGAGATGGATGGATGGATGGATGGATAGATAGATAGATAGATGGATAGATGGATGGATAGATAGATAGATAGACTCAGATAGACTATAAACCATGGTAACCATACTTATCTTGAGGGGCCCACAAAACCTCAGCCCGTTGTGCCGCTTTTCGTTGCGAATCAAGCTGGGATCCTCTTAGATCCACCAAGTGAGACGGGACGTACCCTGAAAACATACAGATGTGGAAACCCATGGGGAAACCCGTTCGGAATATGACTTTCACGGTTAGTTTTTCACATCTATGTTAGTTTAGAGGAGGGCAAATGCGCCATTTCCAGACACACCCAACTGATCAACTGCTCGTTATCACTAGGAAGCCAATTCGGAAATCAATGCTTGGTGCTGCTCCTGCTGCGAATTCCAGTTGGTCACATCTGAGAAACTGAGCTATGTGGGGCTTCCAAACATCTATAAAAATGTATATGCCATAGTCATTATATATATATATATAGATATGTATGTGATGTTTATTAATATATAGAATCCTTGAACGAACGATCGCATAGATTTCATGATATTGCACGTCTATTGGGGACATCGGATATACAGTTTGTGGCATGGACAAACATGATACAAAATGATACAAACAGAACATAAAGTCTACGGTGTCATGAAAGTCCTGCATCCATAATTACAAACATGTTTCAACATCGTAAACTGAAGAAATAGTCCAAACTCTTCCAGTTGTGACGGGGTGAAACTACTTTGAGCCCTCTCCGGGAATATCACATGCTACTCATTGTGTATGGAGACTGTACTTTTCGTCGCTTGGAAGACATTCTGCCCGGAAACTCCTCAAACCGCCTAGGCTATTTGTCTGAAAATGAGGAACATGCAAAAATTGCCATTTTAAGGAACATACCAGCAGATTTGGGACTGTTACTTTTGGATACTCGGACGAAATCACGCCCAACAACCACACAGCTTTCCCTTTTTCGCCCTGTGCCACCTCGCCCTGCTGTGCTGTCCGTCCTTGCGCCGTGCGTGGTACTCTTCACCCTTTAAGATGCCAATGTGCTCCAATCCCATCATGGTCCTCCAGCTCCCAGGGAGATCCAATGGTGCCATGGTTCGATGGTGTTGTTTACTTTCGAAGTTGGGTACAAAGGGGTATTTTGTGGGTTCCAGAAAGCAAACAGTTTACCATGGTTGATACCTATGTTCCTGCAGTTTGATATTACATGATATTACTGACTTATTATATCATTGTGGCTACAGGAAATTGGAAGTTCGAAGAGTCAAACTGACATTAATTTGATTTCGTGGATACCGGCCTGCGGATATCACATGATGTATATTCATTTCTGTCGTTGGTGGTTCCCACCTGCAAAATCAGAAAGTATCAAGAACTGATAGAACACTCTGGATGGCTCCATCGCAATTCTTCGTGCATTGACAAGCTGCAAACGAGTGAAAAGTACGATGGGTCGATGGCTATAGCATAGTTTATCTCAAGTACCCTGCAAGAAAAGACATAGCCGGGCTAAGCATTATAAATTATATATATAGAGATTATAGAGTGTATATATATATACACTATATATATATACTATATATATACACTATATATACATACATACACTATATAAATATATACTATATATATATACATACACTATATATATATATACACTATATATCTATACTATATAAGCTATATATATACTATAGATGCTATATATACTATAGATACTATATATACTGTAATACTATACATACTGTATATAATATATATATATACTATATATACTATATCTACTATATATACACTATATATACTATATATACTATATATACTATATATACTATATATACTATATATACTATATATATACTATATATACTATATATACTATATATACTATATTTTCTTGCAATTCATAGCAGCAAAACAAACACCTATCTTTCAACCATTTTGAACGCTTTGCAACGTGAACTCGTTGTTTACCTTTGACGTCCAGCAGCACCAAGATTGCATCGGATGGCTCCTGCGCCGCACCAACTTTGCTTTGTTGCTGCTTGCTGCGAAGGTCCTGCGGGGGTAACAGGCCCGACATAGGCTGACGTCATAGGTTGGGTGCTACAGAAACTACCCAAAAAGAATAAGATTGTAAGCTGCAGTTACACCACTACATAATATGTATATGTATAATACATAAAGGGAGGCTCCTCAGAATTAGATTTGGCTACCCAGAAACAGAGTTTGGTATAAATCATTCCCAAAAAATAAAATTCAAGTTTGGACGGCAACCTTTCAAACCATCTGACCCGGATACTAACCAAGAACTGTGAGCTAGGTCCCACCAAAAAAAATGGCAATGCATCTGTAATTTAACTTAACCCTTTTTGTGTCAAACGGAGCAGTTTGAAGCCCTATTGGGGCTCTTGGCGCCGCTGGCGCTGCTGGTCCGTGCGCCCCATTGTGGCCTAGAGCCTACATGAGGTAGGGTGGCAGACCCAATTGTATAAATACAAAAAAAATTGGCCCGAACTACTCTGAATAATAGTTTGCCGGTGCAATTTTATAACGTGACTTTTGCCCATGGAGTTAGGAATGACATCTATATATTCACCCTGGAGTAACCATATTATTGTTATTATTATTATTGACCTACACTATCGGAACCATCATGCATATATATATATATACATACTTAATCAAATAAACCCTACAATCGATAACGTAATAGCCAGCGGGCAAAACTAACATTTTCATTTGATATATTGTGATTTGAAAATCTTTTTTTAATAACATCAGATGGGCAAGACCCTGTGTCAAGCTTTCTGTGGCCATCGCCAATACTAAAGCAACATGTGGAAGCCTATGCGTGCATATACATATACTGCAGAAAATTATAGAAAATCGTTTTTATATATTAACATTGAAATAAAAAGTCGTATGATACAGTTCTGTATGCACGCTCGCTTCGTTGGTTTCATGATTGAAAAGCGGTTCCAATGAGTTTCGCGGAGTTCAGAAACTTAAGTTTTTGTGAGCCATGAGTTACTTGTTTTCAAGCCACGATATTGATTGCCCACGGGGGATGGCCATGCGATCTAACATTGGTATAGTATAGACAATGGAAATGCAAGCAGTTAGATACACCAAAGATTTTGGGTTTAGCATTGCAAGGTTGGCAGCCACACCCAAAATCAGAAATTTGCGGGCTACCGGGATCGGGTAATCATTTTTCATTTGCTAGGTCTCCAAACATTTCTCTCCTGGTGGTGTGAAAATTTCAGCTTCAAAACTTTGCCTGCAAGATTCTTCCAAAAAATGTGAACACTTAATTTAGCAAATTGGCTTTTCAAAATGTTTGGGGATTTGAGACATGCAGTAAGTGCTGGCCGAATATCTGCATGTCCTGGTCTCACCTGAGACCAGGACATACAGGTATTTCCAGGCCATGTCGACATATCTTACCCATTCTAGTATTGTATTCCTATTGCACCATGTTTTCCTCAATAGTGGGCCTTCACCAAAATAAGAGAAAGTGCCTGGCCCGGCAATATCTGCATGTCCCAAATTTGAAGAAATTGCCAGGACCTCTTTTCTTTAATTAGGTGTTCAAACATTTTTGCACCCAGCCTTGTGAACTTGAGTCAGGCGCTGGTGAGGTGTACGTTGTGTAAGTACCCGATGGTGCGCAAGACGGATTTTTGTGGTTTCAAATTCAACGAGATTACAGCAAGACAAAAACCCCAATACCACTAAAGAGTTGGAGATGGGTTGGTCATATATTTTGTCTTCACCGCGAAGTGATAACTCAAAAAGAATTTCAAATCACGCTGCGATGCGCGCAGGGGGAGGGGGGGGAGCATCGCTGTTCGTCTTGGACGCAGGGCATGTCAAGATATTCTGTGTGTGTGACAGCAGGAGTTGGGATTAGCTGTCTGAACCCCGGGAAGCTTGGAGCAAGCGTTTTTCAACCACGAGGCCAACAAAACGAGCGTGTATACATAAATAAATCATAAAATGCGTTTACTTTAATGTTAAATTTAAATATGGAAAAGCTATAGTATATGTATATGCACGCATAGGCTTCTACATGTTGCTTTAGTATTGGCGACGGCCACAGAAAGATTGACATAGGATCTTGCCCATCTGATGTTATATTTTAAAAAAATATCAAGGCACAAGATATCAAATGAAAACGTTAGTTCTGCCCGCTGGCTATTACGTTATCGATTGTAGGGTTGATTTGATTACATATATATATATGTGTGATGGTTCCAATAGTGTAGGTTCAATAATTGTGATTTCCCTAGGCAGAATCATGCCCACCTCCATTGGATATCCTTCCTAACTTTCTTGTAGGATAAAATCACGTTGTGAAATTACACCGGCGCACGTTTTTGTTAGAGGGTCAACTCTATCAAATCCCAAATTTGGGCCAAAATTTGTTGTATTTATACAATTGGGCCTGCCACCCTACCTCATGTAGGCTGTAGGCCACAATGGGGCGCACGGACCAGCAGCGCCAGCGGTGCCAAGAGCGCCAATGGGGCTTGAAACTGCTCCGTTTGACAAAAAAGGGTTAAGTTAAATTACAGATGCATTGCCATTTTTGGGGGGCCCCTAGCTCACAGTTCTTGGTTGGTATCCGGGTCAGATGGTTTGAAAGGTTGCCGTCCAAACTTGAATTTTATTTTTTGGGAATGATTTATACCAAACTCTGTTTCTGGGTAGCCAAATCTAATTCTGAGGATTCGTTCTTCATAATTTGAAACGGATTCTATTTGTTCTATCTCCTATGGGCTGTTATAGTTATAAGTCATTGAAACCATGCATTTTCGAAGCGGGTTTTATAATTCTGATTTATATCCACAGGAGGGATCCATCCTTCAACCCGCGAGGATTCTAGAGTGTTGTTGGCATTAGATTTTGTCTGAAAATGAGAATCTCATGGTTGATCATCATTTCGGGCATCCACTATTTTCATCTATTTATGAATAACGCCATATTATCAATATTTCATATTGTTGATTACATACATATCCTATTCTATTCCCATTACATATATATATATTATATAGCCCCACAAAAGGGCTAGTCTTATAACTCCGAGGTTTGTTGCTTTTCAAGCCCCATGCATTGGCATTTTTGATTGACATCTTGAGCCGCTCAGACCCATCAACAGGCCCCGGGCTCGGTGCGATCGGCTTTCCAATGACCAATCATGAGGCCAATCCTTGGCATTTCGGAAACATAATTATCTGCCTCGACCCCTGCCTCCCCAACATGCCCCAACAACACAAGCTGTGGAGAAATTAAGGTCGTCATCCCATAAATAATGATTAGGATGGAAATTCTGGGAATTTAAGTCGTATTTGATCACACCGCGAAGCAGTTCCGAAAGTTCTCTCAGTTGAACCCCCATCTGTCTCCGAGTTGAATGAAGTAGGGAAACCAAAGGTTTGGAGTTTGGAGGTCTCAATCTGCCCGTGTTGGGTATTTGCATCCACCAGCGAAAGGGTCCGCAATCCAGCAATGAAACCATTCAGCGGATGGATTTTCAAAGTGCCTGTGAAAAACAGGAATGTTTCATTGAGAACAAACTGTACTCCACATGCAACTTCCCTATTCGGAACGTACCCTCAGTTTATTTCACAACAGTATAGAAAATTATCACTTTAATAGGTAAATCAACTCAGCTCAATGGTCGCTTGCAGTTCGCAGAACGGATCCGCTGGATCAAGGTAGATGGATCTAGGGAAATACCAGCCCTATGTAACGACCATATATCTTGCTTGGATGCGCATCAATGGGGCTGTCCAATAATAATTAGTGTACCTTCCCAGAGACACATGGACACGGGACCACGACAAAAAATGTGACATTGAATGTCCAATATGATCCAATATGTATCAATATGTCAGATAGCTTGGCAGCACATATGTCAGATAGAATGCCAAATAAAATGTGAGAATGTGAGATAGAATGTCAGATAGAATGCCAGATAGAGTGCCATGTAAAAGCAAGATAGGATGTCAGAATATATGCCACTCAGAATGTCAGATATAGAGGCAGGTAGAATGTCAGATAAAATGTCAGAATATCATTATTTCAGAAGATAATTATGTCAAATAGAATGCTCAAAAGAATGTCAAAACCTGTTTACAGATCAAACTAACCGCAAAATCACCCATGCGTGGCCGCAAAGTCATCGAGTTGCTTTCGAACTGATTCCAACAGAAAATGGTTTCCAGTCAGACACCACTCCACTGTCCCTGGTCCTGACGTTTTATCAGTTTGTACCCGAATATTCTGTACATTCTGTTAACCTGATGTGTCTGACGTGATGTATTTCGGCATTGAAGATGGCGAGAAGCAAAATAGGGATCGTTGAAGGCCGGGTTGTTTTTGCAGCTTGTGACATGTTGTGGCACGGTGGCACCTGGATCTTCGAGTCTGTCATTGAGTAGCGTTCAGCTGAAATGGCACGCCACAAATGCGAGAAGGAAAGCTATATAATGATAGAATTTCAGAAAAATGCCAAATAAATCCAAATAACATATCAGAAATTGTGTCAGATAAAATGACAGAAAATATGTCAGGTAGAATGCCAGATAGAATGCCAGAATATGCCAGGTAGAATGTAAATTAAAATGTCAGAAGAACTGTCAGATAAAATGCCAGAAAGAATGCCATATAAAATGTTAAATGGAATGCGAGATAAACATGCATTTTGTGGACATGACACACACACACACACTCTACTCATCTAAATCAGGTACAAATTCATGTGCATGTTATCATGTTGAATTGTAACTGAAACATGAATTGCCACTTGATTTGTGATGGGTTTCACCTGCACTGCATCTGCTGTGTGATTTTGTCAGGTAGTTCACTAACACAATTGACATGTGTAAACTGATAACGGCATGTTTTTGCAAAGGGTCTATACTAGCATGGTTGTAGATTGTTTATTCAACATGTTCAGTTTGAACTAGACCTGGCCTATCCTGGACTTGTGCGACGACTGACTTGTGCGACACAGAGCTGTAGCCGTTTTCAGAATGCCACGGGGATCACTCAAAGTAATGACTGGGTTCCCTGACGTCAAGACTATGGCGATGATTATGAAGAACTCGACTATCCTCAGCTGCTGCCGGGATCAGCTGGGTCCTTTCATCAATTTTTTTGGGTAAGGAAGACCACCCAACACCCTGGATTTTTGTATCTGAGAGTATTGGCAAACCCATCCTATGAGGTATGATGACTTCCATGGGCGCAATATGTGAAGAATATGCAATATGCATCTTGTTGGACAGACTTGGCATCATCTGCATCTCACCGTATATGGAAAATGCACGATGTCAGCCAGTTGACTTTGCTGAGCTCAACTTTGCTCCAGTGTTCCGGGTCTTGAAATAGACAGAAAAGCAAATCACGATCAAACTAGCATGTCCTAGTGGGAACAACACATTATCATAATATGACTAATAGTAGGGCCTAAAGTACTGATTCGGAATATGTAGAAACTTAAAAAACACAAACTCTTCCATCTTTTTTGGAGCACAACACTCCATCTTCATCCCCCTTCATCCCCCCTGTAACCTTCAACAGCTATCAGCATCAGCGACAAGTAACAAGTCCCGGAGCCAGAGGAGCCAAGTGTACTTGTGACCCGCCTGCTTGAAGCCACTCTTGTAACCATCCTGACAATACCACAGTGGCACAGTGGGATGAAAATTTAAGGAGGATTTCCCATGGGATTTCCCGGACAAATCTCTGGCCATTGATTTTAACGGCTGCCTGGGGAAATGGTGATGAACCATGAACCAATGGATTCTGAGGGTGCCCAAATTTTCAGACACATCCATTTCTTCAAGGTGTCAGCAGCATTTCGCAAGGCGAAGCTCAGATTGTTGTTTTTATTCTCAAGCCATAGGGGAAATTTTGGATATCCCACTGGCTTTTGAAGTAACCATGGCCAGTTTGGGGGTCCAGGGCTTCAATTTTGGGGGTGGAGTTCAGAACTGCCCATTGCGAATAGAATAGAACTCTGTCGGTCCTCCGAAAACACAGAGTCTACCACCAAGATTTTTCCTTCATGGTTAAGCGCTCTCTGACCCCACCATGATGTAGGTAGGTCCGGTAGGTGATATCCATGGATTTATAGAACAGTAAGCATCCCACTGTACTGAGGTTGGATCACAATTCACCCGAAAAGTTCAGCCATGAATGGCAACACTTCCTCAAAAAATGGGGGAGTTCTCCCAAGCTAACTTTGTTGCCCAACTCTACACACATCGCTGAAAACGTCGGAGCCAAAAACGTAGCCGTCCTTGACCCCTCTGCGATAGGCTTCAGGACCCGCAAGGCTATCGTTGGGGTGCTCCTGCTATGCTCCACCGAAACTGGGTGTTGAGGTGCGCACCTTTGGGGGGGAAAAAATCATCTGTAACTGGAGATTCAATGGGAATATCATGAAATGAAATATATACAAGTTCTATATTTGTAGATATTATGGATATATTATACATGTGACATATGATATGTGGTCTGTAATTTCAATTTAAAAAAACCTGTTACCACTTACCACCCACAGGTAGGCCCCCTAAACGCTAGCTGCTTTACAACTGGGGGCAGCACCTTGCAACAGAGACTTCCCCAAACCGCGATGTGAAAATAGGGCACCCCCAAAGTTGATGGGTGATTATTTGGATGGCATCAACTGCATGCTCCAAGCACTCAGTGCAGCATCTGGAAAGGAAAAATGTTGATTTTTGTTGTTCCCCATAGTTTCAGAAAAAACATGTCTGCAATTATGATCTCACTCATGTTCTGTCTGACCTCTTTCCAAGATCCTTAAGCTTTCAAGGTGCCAACGTGTTGTACAAATTCGGCCCATGAAACTAACAGTTTGACCCTGAGAAATTATATATCCGTTTTTCAGAGAAAAGTAGTCTTCCAACTTTATTTGGCAGGGTCTATTCAATTCCACTTGGGGAGACGAGAAACAACAGACATCCTAACCAACAAAAAAATGGCATGTGAACATATGACCACTACTTTGTACGATCATCCCGGGTGATGTCTGGTGATTTCAACCGCTGAAAACGTCCTGGCAAGGTAGAAACACGTGGTCTGTAAAATGATGTTAGAAGGAGATCGAATTTCTGAATTCAAGCTAGTACCCTGGAATCAAATATCAAGGGATGACATCCCCTATAAATGGAAGTGTTGTCCATGGGCCGCAAGTCATGCTGCTGAAGCTACCCTGCAGCTGTCAAAGTTGGTATCAGTCGATTGAAGTGTTCACTAGCTTTCGGATGTGTTCAAAAGCCCAAGGGGTAGGAAACATCCTGGTCCAAGCCGATCATGTTTCAGGTCCCCCTAACACAAATTAGGTTCCTCCCCCCCCACAAAAAATAAAGAAGATAATATGAACAATTTGCATAATTAATCATAATCATAATCATAATTATATATATACATACAGGATCGATATGTGAATATATATAATATATGTATACTGATATACATGTTGTGTATAAAATTGTTGTATCCATATAAAAATCCAAGTTGTATGTATCCACCCATTGGACCTATCCAGTTCAGAAAACCATCCTTCGTCCGCACTGACCCGCTGAACTCCTCGAGATGTTTGCACTCCTCCTGCCCGAAGAAATCTTGAGCTAGATGTCAAATATACAGTGTAAATGTCTGTGTACATACCAATGTATGGCTAGCAACATGTGTTTTTGGTTGGTTTGTTGTTTGCAGCTGGGTGTCAAGTTGGTTGTACATACACAGTGTGTATATGATTATGTATGCAGTGTTCATATTATAGTCATTAATTTGTATACACCTTTACATACCCTTTAATCTTTACATGTAACAATGATTAACATTGATTAACAGTGTATATAATGCAAACAAAATGGTATTGAACTGCCCTACCAAGTTATCCCAAAAGGAGACAACACAAAAATAAAGAACTACTTGACACCACGGTTCCACCCGAGTTCCAGAGCTCTACGGAATCGTCTGCCCATATCATTCCTCAAGGTTTTGGATAAGTGTTTTAGACATCTTGTATTTTACCAGGTCAACCGACAATGGGGTAAAATCCGCTAAGCTGCTGATACTTTTGAACCAACGCTTCAGAGTAGATCGATGATATATACACTACATGGTTTTACTGCAGGAGTTTTTACACCCCCCTCGGGCGAGCAGGGACGACTGCGGAGAACGAATAACCCAGAAAAGCATACCCTCGCGGGTAGCCAAATTTCTTTAGTTGGTTTTGATCATTTTTATGCAGTCTTTCAAAGGTCCCTTTAAAAAGCTCAAGCCCGTAAAACCCAGCGCAGCTTTGCAAGGAAGGCACATTACCATGCCGCATCTTGCGCTATGCTACAAAAGAAAATCATCGTCTACCTGCGGTAGATCCACCGGCCGCCGGCCTCGTCACGGTAATACCAAGCCCCACGCCAGAAACTCCATTCTCGGCGTGCACCATAGTGATCACGATTCCAACTCCAGGAGGCATCCGGGCGACCGGAGCTTGCAGCCTTTGATGTGACTCCTTTGCTTGCTGCTTTTGCAGTGGGCGGTGTCTCAGGCTCCAAGAATGGTCGCGCTCCTGCTTTGGGTGTTGGTGGTTCGGGTGCAAGAAATGGTGCATTGTTGGGGTCAACTGGGGCATCAGCGTGCGAGGCATCTGCGCGAGCAGAGCTTGAGGCGGCAGTGTCATCATGTGTGGTGACGGATGCATCAGCTTCGGCTTTGCGTTTTCGCTCAGTGGTGGGCGCGACCGTGGGGTCGGCCTTATGACCTCCAGGGCCTCCAGCCTTTGCAGCGGCGCTCTGCTTCTCTTTGCGTTCAAGGTTTCCCCGAACCAATGGAAGATTTTCCTCATACACCTTTTCGAGGAATTCAAGAGTGCCATCAAAAGGAACTTGGACAGTGCCCTTCCAGGTCAAAAGGCCACGGAATGCGCCACGACGACCGATGTAGCTGACATATTCATCCTCTGTAAAAATGTGGCGGCCGAACATGAATCCCCAGACCTTCTTCCATGTTTTGCGGAACTCAACTGGGAAACCATCAACACCTCGAGGCTGGGACATGAAAATCAACTTAGATAAGCAGTTTTCATTTTGGGCATTGGCGGCGACGCCAGCCGAGATCTGAGCTTTGGTCCTTGGGGGATCGGGGAGGTTGCCATATGCGAACATGTCGTCGAATATGCAGTCCTGCAGGTCCTTCCCCTCACCGTGGATGCGGTCGCAAAAAGTGACGTCGCTGGAGTATCTGTCTTCCACGTCCTCGTAGCCCAGCGCTTTTGCACGTCGATGCCTGTCGCGGCAGTCTTTGAGGACTGCTGATTCCACGGATGTGATTCCCCTGGGGCCCAGTTCTCGGCGAAGCAGATTGGCTTGCTCATCCGTCAAGGCTGTCAGCAAGCTTCCGCTCATTTTCCCAAACATTCCGAACCCGGCGAGACTTTGCATTCGCCGTTCAAGGATGCGTGTCCTCCTGTTGGGTTTGTCGGCCTCTTTTGTATCGCCACTTTCGTCCACTGGGAGTGGTTCATATCCACATGTGGTGCATGTCACTTGGCCACTGACGTACTCAACCTGGCAGAGGGGGCAGGAGCCCATGAAAGGTTCGCAGTACTTGGGTGCAATGTAAACACGGCGCGTCCTTGCGGACGGCTGGTCAACTTGCATTGGGGCAGTGGCTGCATCATCATCAGTGGACTTGGCATCGGGTCGCCCCGTGCTGGTATCATCCATTGGGTCGTCATTTGCATCATCTCGGGCAGTCAGGGTGACCGCTTTGGATTTCGGTGCTGAGGCTGATTCCGCGCCTGTCCATGAACTGGGCTCGAGATTGCTCTCGGCGCGGGTCCAAAGCACCTGTCCTTCTTCTGAGATGCTGACCAGAAACTGGGGTGGAATGCGTTCTGAACACAAAATACCATCCATTTCTGTGCGACTAAAGATGACACCAGCTTCTACTGCTTGCCGCATTGCGATTTTGACTTCGACTGGACATTTTGCTCTTAATCCAGATCGATACCCCTGTGTGCCGATACAGTGTTCTGCCATGTAGATATGAGCACGGCCACTGTTGACTGTGTCACCGCCACCTGGGATCAGGCCGTTCTGTGCGATGCTCTTCCAGCTGCTTCTCATCGTGCGATGGAAGACAACCTCAGGGACCTCAGTCATGGCACACAAGGGCACGCCAGTGAAGGCGGCTTTTCGCTCGGGGGATACTTGGTTTGAGCAATACACCATGGTTGAATTGGCATAAAGACCCCCTGCGGTTTTCAAGGCAGCTTCGGAGTGACCCTGAATTGCACGGATTTTCACAGGATAATACGGCATGCCTTGGCCATTGTCGACAGGAAAATGGGAGATCTTTGCACACAAGAATTGGAACCTACTCTTGCCATGCTTGTCGATCTTCATTGCGGTGCCAAACAGGTTTGCGACAGTGATGAAAACATCTGGGGGCACTTCCTTGCGGAAGGCTTTGGCAAAATCCTCCAAGTCAATCCAAAGGTCTTTGTCCATTGGCACCTTGGCACAGGATCCATGCCCCCTGCAAACTTTGTTGACACGAGTTGCAAAATCAGAAAATTTCTTGTCGACACGAGTCTGGCCAGCAATGGTCTCAACGTCGGATGCCGATATCAGCTCCAGCTCATACGCCGTACCTTCAAAGAGGATACCGGGCACATCGTCCCCGTCTGCATTGGTCACCATTGTATATTGGTATTCAGGCAAATGCTCTTCCATCCAATATGCTTTCACGTGGCCGGATGCATGTCCCTCTAAGCGCGCAGTTGCCTGCGGCTGGTACTGGCTGGATGTGGCTCTCTTGTCATCTGCGGGCTCATCCAATGGTGCTGGTGCTGCTTTCGGCCGCGACTTCAACATGACCTCAGCCGTTTGGACCAGGATTGTTGCTCTGCTGGATGCAGCGGGCTCGCCGTCGCCGGCGGCCTTTGGAGGGTCATCTTTGGGAGGCTCAGCAAACGTGCCCGAAGGCATCGTCTTGGTGTCGATGTAGTCCTCAGTGTCAGGTTGTTGAGCTTCGACATCCTCCTTGGTGAATGACCTGCCCGTCGGCGTGATGTGTCTTCGGGACTCTCCAAAAAGCAACTTGGTGATGTTTGCACATGTCTCCTGATAGGATCTTGGCAGCTCGTCCAGGACGGCGCTCATGTTCCTCCGCAAATCATCCCATGTCTCCTGGCCACACTGAGCAAGCTCCAAACCAATTCGGCCAACCCGCCATCCGCAATCAATTGCGAAAAGGGTAGCTGTCCAAAAGGCAGCAAGACGCGTGCGATTTTCTTCAGAGTTGGCGAAATGCCACTG